CTCGTCTTCTCCATCTCTCTCTCCTCTCTCTTCTCTCTCGTCGGCTTCTCTGTGCGCTCTCTCGCTCTCTCCGCTCTCTCTCGGCGTCTCGTCGCTCTCGCGCTCTCTCTCTTCGTCGATCTCTCTCCTCCCCTCCCTCGTCTGCTCTCTCTCACCTACTCTCCCAGACCTTCTCATCTCCCCAGGATCTTAATCTTTCTCCCTTCTTTCTTTGTCTCCTCTTCTTATCTCTCCTCTGTCTGCATCTCTCTCTCCTCTCCCCTCTCTCTCTTCTCCCTCTCGGTCTATGTCTCGCGGCGCTCTCCTCCTCTCCTCAGTCTCCACACAGCTCCATCCACACATCACATTCCAGCACATACAATATCAGCACATTACCATTCAGCGAGAGCCAGCCATCCTCGCGCGCTCGTCTCTGCGTCGTCCATTCACATATCATTCTCCACTTTCACATACACACATACATTACACACATAATACATTCACATACAATAGCACACCATACATACACACAGGCATACATACACATACATACGTCCACACATACAGTACATCACATACATAGTTCACCACGGTACATACACACAATGACATACATCCACCACACCATACACAATACATATCATCACACTATAACACTTCCAGCACATACTGGACGCATACATACACAACATACATATCACACATACTATCACACACATACAGCACACACGATACATTAATCACCAAGATTACATTTACCACTGACCATTCACATAACACAGTCTCTCTCTCTCGTTCTCTCCTCTCTCTGTTCCGGCGCATACATTACACATCATACATACACACATACATCCACAGCATACATCACACACATAGCATCCACACAGTACACACATACAATATAAACATGAGCATACATACCATACATAGCATACAGTACAGCACATACATACACACATTACATAACCAGCACATAAGCATACAGCATACATACACACATAACATGACACAATATCATACAGCATCATACTATCATGCACACAGTACATACATCCACATTCACATACACACATACAATACACACACTACATAGTTACATACACACATACATACATCAACATACACACACATCGACATACAGCAACCATACCATCTCCACGACAATACATAACCACACAGCCTACTTCTACACACATTACACTCACATTCACATTACGGCATACACATCATACCACTATCTACCACATACCTACTTTCTCTCTATCCATCTTCTCCACATACATCACAAGTCCACTCACAGGTCCATACACTACACACTCATACACACACACACATCCGACACAGCAGCATGCATCGCGAGTCATCCAGCACACACATTCCAGCACTGCACATCCACACACGACACATCCACACATCGGCCTCAGCATACACACAGCACACACACACACATAGCACAGGCACATGCCACAACACAGCACATCGCACACACACATACATCGCCACACACATCGCAGCGACAGCAACACATAAACAGTCACAGACACCGGTCCAAGACACACATACATCGCAACACAGACATACATCCCAACGACACTATCCACTCCCAGCATACATCGCACGACACGCATACACACACATCGGGGGCAAGGTAGGGTAACAATCTACACATCGCATTACGGGCATCCACACACACATTAAACATACACATCGGTCACACAGCACATCTACACATCGAACATTCCACAGCAGGCCACATCCACACCACATCGCATCCACACACATACAGCACACACATCCACACACAACATCCACACACCACACACATACACACACACATACACACACACATTCACACACACACATACACACACAGCACAGGGCGGTCGACCACATCCCACACACATCCACACACACAACTACACACACAATCCACACAGCACACGATCCATACATACAATCTCAAGCATGGAACAATCTACCACATACAATGCCAACATACATAACAGAGCATACATCCAGCACATACATCTCACAGCATACGTTTAAACACATACATCCACGAGCATACATCCACACATAGCATACACAGGGGCTGCCATATCATAGCAACATACATATCACACATACATACACCAATTACATACACACATACATCCAGCAACATACATCCATCAGCATACATCCATACCATACATGCCACACATACATCACACACATACATTGCCACACCCGTACATCCACATAGTACATCCACAACATACATATACCACATACATTCCACACATACATCCAGCGACAATACCATAAGCACACATACATAACCACACAATACATTACATACCGACACATAGCATACAAAATACGTCCACACATCACGTCCACACATGACGTCCACCAGCATACAGTACACACATAGCAACACACATACACTAGCACACAATACATACATACATACTACATCATACATGTCACACATACTATGCACGACATACATACACACACGGCTCTCTCCAGACACCACCATACAATATCACACCAATACATGCCTCTTCCTCTGCGTTCCTCGTAACTTTGGTATGTGTGGACATATAAACAGTCGATTGATGTGCGTCATGTAAGAGAGAGAGAGAGAGAGAGCGAGAGAGAGAGAGAGAGCGCGAGAGAGCGCGAGACAGAGAGAGAGAGCGGTGTACGTACACACAGAGCCAGTGTCGATTCCGTCAGGCAGCAACAACACCTGTCATTAATTACGATCAAGTTTGTACAAAGAACCTCTTCGGCGGGCGGCCGTAAAATGCGCTGTAGTTGGATTGCGTTGTTTGCTGTGCGGCACCCGCAATTCAAACACGAGAGTGCGAGTCGAGAAACCGGAGCGACACGTGCCGTGTTTGCTTATACCAGCTAGGCCTCCCTCCCTCCCTCCCTCCCTCCCCCTCGAAGCAACAACGCTTTTTAGTGCACCCTATCCGTGCACCTGACAGACCAGACCAGACGGGTGCAGGTGCGGCTGCACAGACCCAATACGGCCTGCGAGGTAGCAGATACTAAAAATGTACTGGAGGTGCGAGAAGTAGTAGATGCAGCGGATGTCCCAGAGATAGTTGACACTTGCCTGCTAGCTACATGTGTGCATACTATCATACTATCAGGAGTAAGATAATATAGGATCCTATATTGGATCCTATATAGGATCCTATATTATCTTACTCCTGATACTATCAAGAGCGTATAAAGAAGGATAATAATAAGTATAATATAACCTTCTTTATACGCTCTTGATACTATGTGTGTGTGGTGGATACTAGTGGAGTAGTGGTGGATACTAGGGTGACTACAGATGTTGTAGGTACTAGAGCAGCTACTTGTATATATATA